TCAAGCCAGGATGGACACATAGCATAAGTTTTTTAAAAAGCCAGTTCATTGTAAAGCAGTGGCTTTCAATCAGGTATTACTTTATGTCATCACCGTCCCCCCCAACTCCAGTGCAGGAAACATTTAGCAATGTCTGGTGACATTTTTGGTTGTCACAACTAGGGCAGTGCAACTGACATCTGGTGGGTAGAGGCCAGGGATGTTGCTAAATAACCCACGATGCACAGGACGGACCCTCACAATAAAATTATCTGGCCAGAATTGTCACTGATGCTGAGATTGAGAAGCCCTGTTGTAAGCTTCTGGGATTGTTTATTACTAGGTAGGTTTTAGTATAATCTAACCTATCCTGACTAATACAGCAACTGCCACATTAATTTTGTAATAACTAATGTAGAAATAATTAGATGCCTTAGTTATTAGGAAGCAGGTTTAGAAGAAATCCAGAAAAAAAATACAGATATCGTACTGTGACATAAGGTTTTTTTTTTAAATGTTATTTATTTATTTGACAGACAGAGATCACAAGTAGGCAGAGAGGCAGGCAGAGAGAGAGAGAGGGAGGCAGACTCCCCGCTGAGCAGAGAGCCCGATGTGGGGCTCGATCCCAGGACCCTGGGATCATGACCCGAGCTGAAGGCAGAGGCTTTAACCCGCTGAGCCACCCAGGCGCCCCGTGACATAAGGTTTTGAAGGTGACTCAGGGGCACCTGGGTAGCTTAGTCGGTTGAGCGTCCAACTCTTGATTTTGGCTCAAGTCATGGTCTCAGGGTCATAAGATCAATCCCCATGTTGGGCTCCATGCTGGGCATGGAGCCTATTTAAGACTCCCTCTCTCTCTCTCAAAAAAAAAAAGGAAAAAAAGTTTTTGAAGATGACTCAAAAGATTCAGAAGCTATCAGTTCCACAACTGGTACTGTGCAGTTGCAAATATTCCAGATAAATACAAATTAAACAGGTCTAAAACCAGTATGGTTGTACAATGAATTCTCCAAGGAGCTCAAGTATTAAAATAAAGGGAGTTTGTAATCAAAGATAAATATTCATCTTTTATGGTCCTCTAAAAATAGCATTAAAAAAACTAAGTTCAAAATAACATAATGGAGGCCTACAGAAAGTGCTAAGATCTCCAGAGGTTTTTTGCTTGTCGTAGTTGTATTAGCAGCAAGACCAAGCAAGAAATGTGGCTCCTATTCGATTCTTATGAACTGATTTAGAAAGCGAACAACTCATTCCATTATGTCCCCAGCTGGACTACCTATTTCCTGTTCCTCCATGATAGCTGATTCTCCAGCATCTTTTTTTGAGGCAGTGAATCTTTTTAACTCTGGCTTTTAATGCTTTGCTTATATTTAGAGTATCAGAAGCAATTACTGCTCACCTTTACGGCTTAGAATTGTGTCAACTTCAAAACCTTGGAAATGATAGATTTTGGATATACTTGTCCCTTCTAAATAGATCTACACAAAGATGGATGCTACATTTTGGGGGTAGTGGTTCTTAGTCTTTAAATATTTTCAACCGAAGGCCAGAGAGTTACTTGATGTCTGTTCTTTTCTAATCCTGATTACCTGTAATTCTAAATTTAAAACTCTGGATTAAACCCTTTCCCTCATACCGCTCCCCTCTTGTGCCCTCCCCTTCCCTGCACACACTCCTTTTCTCTCACTCTAAAATAAATAAATCGTGGGGCATCTGGGTGTCTCTGTCAGTTAAGCATCTGCCTTTTGTTCAAGTCATGATCTCCATGTCCTGCGCTCAAGCCGCTCATCAAGGCTCCCTGCTCGGCGGTGAGTCCGTTTGTCCATCTCCCGCTGCCCCTGTTTGTGCTGTGTCTGTCAAAAAAAAAAAAAAAAAAAAAGTCTCTTTTAAAACAACAACGAATTCTCAGTCAGGTCTCTCTCAACTTCTAGTATATGTTAGCCATGTTTAAAAGCACAATACTAAGAAATAAAGATGCCAGTCCTTCAATGGCCATAAAAACTCCCTTGAAATGTCTCCTTTCTCTGAGAATAGGAAGGGTAACTGCAGGGTCCTGGTTGGAGTCCAACTCTATTAATTGTGTAGCCTGTGAGAATTTCCTCTGGAGGCTGTCTTGTACACCTGTTCAGAGATCTGTGTTTCATTACCTGTCCTTGTATCTGAGTCACCAAATCCACATTCTGGATTACCTGCTTGGTTGCTATAGTTGCCTCAAGTTCACAGAATTACTAAGATGTGGTCAACAAGCAGTGGTAGTGTGACAAAATGGGCAGTTCTTGATCTTGGGGTCATCAGTTTGAGCCCCACATTGAGTGTAGAGCTTACTTTAAAAAAAAATTTTTTTAGAGGCACCTGGGTGGCTCAGTGGGTTAAGCCTCTGCCTTCAGCTCAGGTCATGATCCCAGGGTCCTGGGATCAAGCCCCGCATTGGGCTCCCTGCTCAGCAGGGAGCCTGCTTCCCCCTCTCCCTCTGCTTGCCTCTCTGCCTACTTGTGCTCTCTCTCTCTCTCTGTCAAATAAATAAAATCTTCAAAAAAATTTTTTTTAATTTTTTAAATTTTTTTAAAGATTTTATTTTATTTATTTGACAGAGAGAGAGAGAGAGCACAAGTAGGCAGAGAGGCAGGGAGAGGGAGAAGCAGGCTCTCAACTGAGCAGGGAGCCCAATGCGGAGCTCGATCCCAGGACCCTGGGATCATGACCTGAGCTGAAGGCAACTGGTTAACTGACTAACTGGAGATGAAAATATGTTTTATGAATTCCTAATTTTTCATTTGTTGCATTATATCTTTCTTAGTTTTGTGCCTTTTTATATATTTTTTAAAGATTTTATTTGGGAGAGAGAGAAGAGAAAAAGAGCAGCACAAGCAGGGGGAGGAAGAGGGAGCCGGGAGTGGTGAAAGAATCCCAAGCAGACTCTGCACCTTGAGTGCAGAGCCTGGCCGGGCTCCATCTCATGAACCCAAGATTGTGACCTGGGTGGAACCATGTCAGATGCTCAACTGAGCCACCCAAGCACCCCAGTTTAGTGCCTCCTTAACAATGCTTACTACCTGCCCCACCAAAAAGAATCACCAAGTCACAGGATAATACAGTTAACAGATAAACATTCTCAAAACTAAATATTACTAGTAATTGAAGAAATACAAATTAAAATATGAAGCTACCATTTTCCACCATTAAAAGTTTTTTGTTTTATTACGAAAGTATAACACATCTTCACTGTACAAAATAAGAAAATCCCAGACAGAGAACTGAAGAAATCACAGTGGCAGTGTAATATCTCATCATATAGATGCCAGTCTTTTTTTTAATCCATGTCTAAGATTTACCTAACAGTCGGTTCCTACTGACATGTACTTGAATTTTTGTTACTATAAATGATGCTGCAGTAAACACCCTGTACAATAATTTGTTTTGTTGTTTTTTTGCCATCTCTGACTACTAGGACTGTTTCCTGAAACTGCCATTGCTGGATCAAAGTATATGCATTTTTAAGGGTTTTGGTAATCTTTTCCCAAGTTGCTAACCAAGTTTCTGTCAGACGTGAGAGAGTACTGGCTCATGCATCTTCTAATCCATGTTGTTTATGTTATTTTGATAACTCCGGTATGCTATCTCATCATTTCACGTTTTACTACTTTGATTAATAATCAGAACTTTTATTTTAAGTAGGCTTCCTGCCCAGCGTGGAGCCCAAAGTGTGGCTTGAATCCAGAATCCTGAGATCAAGACTTGAGCTGACATTGAGAGTCAGACATTCAACTGACTGAGCCACCCAGGTGGCCCAATAATCAGAACGTATTTTTCATGTCTTACCGAAATACTATAAAGAAAAATCTTCATTGGGGTGCCTGGGTGGCTCAGTGGGTTAAAGCCTCTGCCTTCAGCTCAGGTCATGATCTCAGAGTCCTGGGATCAAGCCCCGCATCGGGCTCTCTGCTCATCGAGGAGTCTGCTTCCTCCTCTCTCTCTCTGCCTGCTTCTCTGCCTACTTGTGATCTCTGTCAGTCAAATAAATAAAATCTTTAAAGAAGAAAAAAGAAAAATCCTCATTGTCAGATTATTTAAGAGAAAACAAACAAAAACACATACCAAAATGTCCAACAAAGGAAAAGCAGTTAGATAAAAACTTCTACTTCTAATAAATAAACTGTGCAGGGGCACGTGGATGGCTCAGTAGGGTAAGCCTCTGCCTTCAGCTCAGGTCATGATCTCAGGGTCCTGGGATCGAGCTCCGCATCAGGCTCTCTGCTCGGCATGGAGCCTGCTTCACTTCCTCTCCCTCTGCCTGATTCTCTGCCTACTTTTGATCTCTCTCTCTGTGTGTCAAATAAATAAATAAACTCTTTTTAAAAATAAATAAATAAATAAACAAATTGTGTAGCTTTTAAAACATTTAGTATGGAGGAACCTGGCTGGCTCAGTCAGTGAAATGTGTGACTCTTGATCTCTGGGTTGTGAGTTCAAATCCCATGGGGTGGAGAGGTAACTTAAAAAAAAAAAATTAAGTGTGCAAAATATTTCAGTTGGCATAGGGGAAAAATGTATAATACTAAGTAAAACATTAGAATGGTAAATGTTTATGTGTAATTTGATATGCTGTATTCCTTAAATGTGGAAGGAAAAAAAAACAGAAAGAAAATATGTCAAAATGCAATTGGTTCTGCATGGTGATGGATGACTTTTAATATCTCATAATTTTTAATACTTGCCACATTTTTTATTATTAACATACCACATTTGTGAAGAAAACACATTTTTGTTAAGTACACCGTATACTAATGGTGTAAGAGGAGAGGAAACTGTCCATCTGCATTTTGTGTATTGTAGTCTAAAGATAATATTAAAAATTGGATTTCGAAACAGGTGGCATAAACAGCTAACATAAATAATATTCTGGTAAGCAGTTCAACAGCCCCTTGTCAAAATGTTAAGAGTTCCACCTGCTTGAGAAGCTGACAATTGTTGGAATCCCCTGAAAATGTGAAATTGTTTACCACTTTTTTCCTTTTTAGGTTGCTGCTGTTGATCTTCTCGTTCCTGGGGTTGGAGAGCTCTTTGGAGGAAGCCTCAGAGAGGAGCGGTACCATTTCTTAGAGCAGCGACTGGCCAGGTATTGATCAGACCTAAAAGAAAGAAAATTCAGAAATTGGGGATGAGGCGCTCGAAGGCAGTCTTGGCAAAGTAACAGAGAAAGCAAATGGGCCTCAGCACCTGACTGACCTGGATCTCAGATTCTCTGTGGCCTTGAGCAAGTTATGTGACCTTTCTGAGCTTCCTGTTCTTAAAGATTGGAACTGTTATGTGATATAAGTCTGCAGTGGTATGTGCCCACTATTTGGTATGTATCTCTCCCTATGAAAATTGCTTTTTAAAAAGTTAATGACAGTAAACAACCTTAAAGCTTGCCCTTCATTTTCTCTCTTTTCTGTGTTCTTTTTTATTTACTCCAAATTATGATTGGGAGCATAAACAAGGACTCCTATAGGGCCATAAAGAAAAAACAGACTCTGAACCAGGGAAGGAATAAAGATGGGGAAAGAAAGATTCTAAAAATATCCACTAAACTAACATTTAGAATAAGCACTTCTCCCTTCCTCAGGTTTTCTGCTATGTAAGGGTCTTGATTAAGCTATTTGAGTAACTCATTTTAACTTGCTCTTTGAGACCTAGGAAATGAATCCATAAACACACAGAAAATGTTTTGGAGATGAGAAGTACAGAATCGTGTTTCTAATTGAACTACCACTCCTGTGTATGCGTGGTCTGCCAACAAACCACAATGACTTCCTAAACTAACCAACGTTATAAACCTCTGTTTTCCATGGTTTCTACTTTTGCTATGCCAGACTTCAAAAAAAAAAAAGGTTTTCCCCATGTTAAACGCTTAGTCCCACTCTCCTACTCTCCAGATAATACTGGGTTTCATAGTAACCTGGAAAAGCCATAATAGATTGAAAATATCCTGTTAAATTAGCCATTTATAAGGCCTTCTTTCCCTAATGGAGAAATGCTTAAAAAGCTGATGCTTTTCCAAGATCCCAACCTATAAATTTGTTGGATAACTTGGTTTTGTAACCCCAGTCATTTGAACTGCTCTATTTGGTTAGGGTCCAGAAAAAAAGAAGTAAATATGTTCTAAAAAAGAGGCATCTTTTTTATTACTTAGACTACTAAGTCCTTACTATTACTATAATGTTAGAAAGTCCTGGGAAAATAATGAAATTGAAGTAAAGGTCAAACTCCTTAGAGGGAAAGAATTTGAAGATTCTCTGGGTTTTTTAAAGCACAATAAAAATCACACATGGCAAGAAACCTCATCTGTTGAAAGAATAATTGGTCTCTTGTCTTTGCTTGCTTCCTTCCTTCAGCAAACTTTTCCTCATGACATTATATGTTTACCTAATACCCAATATTATCCAAATTTATCTTTTCTAATGAAATGGTTATATGTGTTTCCCTGCTTCAGGAACCTGTCTGTGACCTCTGTTCGTGTTTTCTGTGTCTCTGATTTTTTTTCATAGTCCTTATCATTTCAGATGCACTTTGATCCCAAACACTTTTTTAAAGGGCTGAAATTTATTTCTTTTAATATTTTATTTTTAAGTACTCTGTACAGCCAACATGGGGCTGAAACTTACAACCCCGAGGTCAAGAGTTGCTCGCTCTACCAACTGAGCCAGCCAGGCGTTAAAGGGATGTAATTAATTTTAATGAGTACTAAGAGCTTAAAATTTGATTAACATTTTTCACATTGGCAAAAAAAAAAATTTGCAACCATATTCTGAGGGCAGAATCTATATTATTATTTCAGTGTTACAGAATGAAATGTGTGTCTCCATGTCCCCTGTGTGTGCCTCCCAGCAACCTTAAGTAATAATGCTTTTCTTATGTCATAGGACAATAAGCTCATCTGAAATCTTTTGGGCTCTGGACTATCTTTCTGTGGCATTTATCATCTGTACCACTTGCTTGGCGTAATACCTAGGACTATTGGTTATTTACCTTTCTTACCGTATTAAATAGTTACCTTCTCACTGCATTGCATGTTCTTTAAAAGCACAGGTTTTTGTGTATACTTCTTTATTAAGAGAATGAATGTTTGGTGGTTAGTATCTTTATCTTATTGCCATTCTCTGAAAAAATTTTGTTATTTTCCTCTTACAGATCAGGATTAACAGAAGCCTACCAATGGTAAGAATGTGGCCCTTGCTAATTCTTTTATTTTATTTTATTTATTTATTTGATAGAGAGATCACAAGTAGGCAGAGCAGCAGGGAGAGATGGGGGAAGCAGGCTTCCCACCCAGCAGAGATCCCAATGCGGGGCTCAATCCTAGGACCCTGAGATCATGACCTGAGCTGAAGGCAGAGGGTTAACACACTGAGCCACCCAGGTACCCGGCCCTTACTAATTCTTGTTCTAGCTATTGGTCTGATTGTTACATAGGTTTTACCTGTATTCTCTAGGCACTATGGAAGAGTATTAAGAACAGTGAATAGATAGGTTCTCAGAATAGGTAGTAATAATAGGTAGTAATCTCAGAAGATTACTTATTCCCTTTGAATGCTGGGAAAATACTAATAATATTGGCTGCCATTTATTTATTACTGACTGTGTGCCAGATAACTATGTTAAAATTTTAATGTATTTTTTTAAGATTTATTTATTTAAGTGAGAGAGCATACAAGCGGAGGGAGGGGAGAGGGAAAGAGAATACCAGGCAGACTCCCCACTGAGCGTGGAGCCCAACATAGGACTCGATCCCAGCACCCTGAGAACATGACATAAGCCAAAGTCAAGAGCCGGACACTCGACTGATGAGCCACCAACGTGCCCCTTAATGTATATTTTCTTATGTATTATTAGAACACTCCGAGATAGGTATTATTTTAATCTCCTTTTTATTACTCCTCCAGACCTAAGTCTGAGAGATGTTAACTAACTTAACCAAGAGCACACAGTTAGAAGCTTAGAGCTGGAACTTTGTTCCTAACCATTATGCTTCAGTTTCTCTATGTGTGAAATTAGGGTTTGAGCTAAGTGCTCCCTAAAGTCTGTAGAAATCTAAGCTGCGTAGGGAAGATCACTTGTTTGCATTCATACATTTACATCTCCAGAGTTCTCGTTTTCTTTCTGCAGACCCTTTCTTCAGATATTTTTCAACATGTACAAATTATATACTTTTATTTTTATAGTAGCTTTCCTTCATAGTAATTATTAATATTATTAATTGCTTTGCTGTCCTCATGAGAGGGAAGAATCAAGTTACACACCTGACCTTTGGGTAATGAAAGAGCTAGGTTGTAGAAATGCCAAAAGCCTAAAATTATGTTCAGGTCATGACCCTTGAATGCCTTATTATTTACCGTTAGTAACCATAGGCATACTTAATCTGAGTCTTGGTTTTCTTGGCTGTAAGATGGAATGATGGTATTTACTTAACAGGATTATTGTGAGGATGAAATGAAACAATATAGGTTAAGTATATACCTAGAATGGAACTTCAGTAAAAGCTAGTTTCCTTTCCCTTACCTGCCTTTGTTCTCAGTCTTGTTATTAGGTAGATGAGCCTGACCAAGCAAGCTTATGCATTTTGCCTATTTTTGTCTGTCTACAAGATAATCTTCATAGTGTGTAAAAACTAACTAAATCACAAATTCTGATTGTTGGTTGAGTAAGTTGAGGCCTTTTTGGTCTTTATTAATCATTTCAATACTATTCTTGTCCAGACTAAAGTTTTTGAACTCTTCGGATCTCTAAATGTAAATATCTATTATTTGAATCTGTTTCCTTTTATCTGGTCATCATAGCATTTTCAAGGTAGAAGGGACTTCAGAAATCTTCAAGCCTGCAGTCTCTGCTAGCGTTCCACCATGCTGTGAATAGCCACCCCAGGTGTCAAAGAATTTAGTCACTTCCTGTTTCTGCATGCCACATGCAAATAATATATGTAACTAGTTCCACAAATTTTATACCATTTCTTCTATAATCTGGCTACCCTAAAATCAATTTAACAACAATCAGAAAAGTCCAACAAATATATATTTGTTCGAAAACTTGTTTTTTCAGAAGTGGATTTCTCTATATCAAAGCAAGGGCAAGAAAAATGCAATAGATTGAATCCATCTGCAGAATTCAGTTTCCAGACCTTTATGCCAGTGTTTTGACATCAATATATGAGGAATTCAGATACAGCTACAGCTATTGCTGGACTTCTAGCAGCCAGCCCAGGTCCTGCAGCTATTTGTGGCAGGTGCTTTGATGGACCTTTCATATCATTTTCTCAGTAAATGAAAGTATATCCTGTCCCCATACCTTATAAACTAAAACTTAATTCAGCTACAAAACATTTCATTTACTCAAGACTGTACTCCTTCTGTTATTCTTGATAGTTCTTAATAATCTGAAGTTTCATACTAGAAACTCCTGTTGGTTGATCCCTCACTTGATGGTAATTTGCCGTGTTGCAATTAATCTTTTATTTTAGAAAGATCAGTATTCAATCTTAACTGCCTAAAAGACCAATACATGTGGCTATTACTATTAATAGTGAGGAAATAGATAATACTCTTTATTTTTTTTTTAAGATTTTATTTATTTATTTGAGAGAGAGAGCAAGAGAGAGCACGAGCAGGGAATGTGGGGCAGAAGGAGAGGAAGAAGCAGTCTCCCTGCTCAGCAGGGAGCCCGACTTGGGGCTTGTGGAGGGGCTTGATCCCAGGACCCCAGGACCATGACCCAAGCCGAAGCAGATGTTTAACTGCCTGATCCACCCAGGCAGCCGAAGACAGTCTTTATTCTTGAAGAGTCATATTACTACCAGCTGTGGCACCTCACTTTTATTTTAGAACTGATTTTACAGATCATTCAAGAAGCTATAAACTTACTTTAATCAATATTGTATAACTAAAGAATTCCCCCACCAAATAACATAGCAAAATACTTACAGAGTCTTCCTCTTTCTCTTCCTTTTGTAAAATAAATTTATCACAGGCTGGTGTGTTGGAATCTGAGTTTGAATCATGGCTGCCCCATTTTCTAGCCATATAATCTTAAGTGGAAATAGAAATCAGTATAGATAAGCTTCAGAGGCTATCTAACCTTCCAGAAAAATGACTCTGGACTTACTCTACTAGGTTTGAAGCACAGAAATGGAAATTTCACTCTAGTGTTCAAGAGTTTATTTTTGTGCCTTCAAACAATAAATCTTCATAGACCAATGATACATGTTCTCCAGAGCAGACACTGGAAATAAAGGGCTGAATAGCCACAGTTCCTGCCCTTGAGAGAGCTTACAATCTAATGTAGTAGGGGTATATTTTTACAATTTAGCAGGCAAAACTCTTCACCCTCTTCTGTGTATTGAACAATGTGATTTTAGTAGGGAAAAAAGCATTAACATACCAAGAAATAGAAGAAGAATATATTTTCAAGAAAAATAGTAAAGTTATTAGAACATTTTCTGTTGTCTCATTAGGCAAGTTTTCTGTATTTAAGTACGTTTGTAACTTTAAAAGGATCAAGTGAACAAAGCCCATGAGTGCATGACGCGATTTGCTGCTGTTTGTCTGATAACCTTGGACAGATCATTTTAACTTCTCTGTCCTTCACCTGTCCTTGGAGGGAAAAGACTGGTTTACCAAAATGATGTGGATGATAACATATGATCGCAAAATACTTTTCAAACAAAATTCTCTCATGACATCTGATCCAGCACAGCATCTACAGGTAACAATTCTCTGTTTTTCAAAATCAGGTATCTGGACCTCCGTCGATTTGGATCTGTTCCCCATGGAGGTTTTGGGATGGGATTTGAACGCTATCTGCAGTGCATCTTGGGAATTGACAATATCAAAGATGTTATCCCTTTTCCAAGATTTACTCATTCATGTATTTTATAGCTGGAAGACTGGGTAAGGAAAATCACCCCATGCCAGAGGTACTGCATGTGAATATGGATACAGGAGACTGCATGTTTGGCTTTTAGAAATGGAGAGGTTTTGGGTGTGTAACTTTCATGCCATAAGATAGCGCATATGAAAAACAGAAGTGATTATGATTTTCTTAGAAAGTTGAGAGCATTTTATGAAAAAGATGAACTCCCTCAAGAAGAGGAGCTTGTGGCAGGCAGAATCTCCAATCTATTACACCAATGAAGAAGAAATGGGGAGGCTGCGCTGTGGTCTCAGAGGTCCTTTCAAACTCTCAAGACACGACGAGATAGTGTATTTTAATTTGTCTTTAATCATTAGATCACTGCCCCGTGTGACCTTTGAGAACCACTAGTAGCTAAAAAGAAGGTATTGTTGGATCTTTTCTCATGTGCCATTTAACCTATGATAAATTCCCATTTATTTTCATCACTTTACTAGATATCACAGAAGAAAATATTCTTTTGGGGGTCCTAATTGAGTTAATAAAGTTACTATTCTGAATTGAAATCTTTCATCAGACTGGGTGAAAAAAGTGACATTTAATAACTGTTGATCTTTCATTTTAAAAGCAAGAGAGATGTATTAATTATCTAATGACTGTTATAATTTGTTCACAGTAGCTGTTTATAACTTCTCTAATAATCAATAAAATAGATTTTTGATACCTATGAAAGAAAAATACAGTTACATTTTTAAATTCCACTCGGCCTTTTCCCAGAGAAATTTGGAAGAAAGGTATTTTCAGTGCAAGATGATGCAAATATCACTAAATCTAAAGGATGAGTAATTCTGAACTCAAAAAGTAACATTGTCTGTTAGAGTTTTTGAGAGGACTGCTGGTTTGGGAGTTTGAGACCTGACAATTACAGCACTTTATGATTTTGGACAAGCCACTTACTCTGTATAAGCTCAGACGTTGTTTTCCTCAGAGTTGATGTAAGAATTACATGATAGTGTTATGCGTGTTTAAAACTATGAAATGCTACACAAGTTGTTTTTAACTCTTTTAGTCTTTGTTGAGTTACATATCTATGACTTGCAGCAAAGTTGTATACTCAGTAGAGTTTGTATGTATCAAATAATGGTAAGTGGCATGCATGCCTGAATAATCCAATTTTCTGTGTCTCATTAGATAATTTATCTTAGTTTATTTCCTATTGAGTTTGTACGTGCACTTTTTTTCATCCTAACTCAAACAACTGAAAAGAACTGCAGAATCTTAGAGCTGGAAATCACAGAAGTCCCTGAGATGTTCTCATGACCAAACTTCTGCCTGATGCAGAGATCCTGGGCAACCTCTTCTTGGCAAAGCCGAAGGCAGATGTTTAACTGCCTGATGTTTAGCTGCTTAGTGTCCCACCAAATAGCATATTCCATCTCTGCATCTCCCTGGTTGGTAGCTTTTGCTGAGCTAAAGTCTACTTCCCTAGAACTTTAATCTCCTGGGCTTTGATACCCAGTTTAGGACAGAGGGTAATCAGGGCTTTCATATAGCTTGCCTCGATCATGGGTTAGACAGATAAATTCATTTGTTCAACAAATATTATTTGAGCTTATTTTATATGCCAAGAACTGTGCTGGGTACTAAGTAAATGATAGTGAACAAAACAGAAATGACCCTTGCCTTCTTGGAATTTACAGTCTGTTAGAGAAGGTGCACAATCAGTAAGCAAACAAACGTATTATTTCAAAATATGACATAAGCTGTAAAATTTAAAAAGAGCAGGGCAAGCATAGATAAGCTTGCTAGAAAAGGCATCTCTGAAAAGGTGATCTTTAACCTTAGGTCTGGGAGATAAATGCAGAAACCACTCTAAAACATTCTCAGCATCAGTCAGTATTGATTTGACATTCAGGTCTTGATACTGTATTAATTTTGTGGAGTGAGAATTACAAACACTTCACAAGCCCGCAACCTGGAGACACTAATATTTTCCAGAGCTATCAGGAATCATGTCTCCAGCGATTCTTGAGGAACCAGATTGAATTCTAATGTTAACATGATGGTGGGACCTCCTAAATAACAGTGAGATAAAGAACAGTGAGTCAGAGAAACCCCAGGTTCCCATCGAATGCCACCACTGATGTAGCTGTGGAGCACTAATCAAGCAAGATCATCTTTGTGCCCTCCAGTTACATCACCTGTAGAACTGTCCTTTCCAAGTGCATCAGCTCAAAAGATTCTGCTTTTGTCTCGATCTTTCAGGAATCTGTGTGGGAGATAGTCACTAAAAATAATTGATTTAGAGTCTAACCTTTACATTTTATTTTAGTACACGTTAGGTCTCTGAAAATGTACCATGAAATCAAATCACTGAAAGTCACAATTACAATAGACTTAAGTGTGTTCATTGTGTGTGTATGTGGGATGGGCGAAGTTCTCAAATAAACCTTGTTCCCTGCCTTTTTGATAGTCTTCAGCAGTGTACTTCCCTACTTTCATACTTACTTGCTCTTTTCCTCTACATTTGATCACACAGAGAGTACCTGGTTGAAGCCAAATACTTGCCACTTACAACAAGCCTAAGAATGTACATCTTTGACTGAATACTTTTATTTTACCCATAATTGAACAACAGTAAATACTGGTGTCAGACAAAGATGATGAAAATGTCAAAACTAAGTAGCAACATCAGGAAAGAAACTTTAAAATGTCCATTTGTCAGCTAGTATATGAATATCCAAATTCTCCAGATAAACAGCATCGTATAATTATGTATATAATGATGAGAAGTGTGGATTTCATAGTTGAGGACTGCCTATACTATAAGAATATTCTTATAGAACTTAATTTGTGAGAGAAAAGGTGTTAAAGGTGTTTTGAGGGTGTTAATTTTTATTTATGTAACCAGTTTCCAATGAGGGAAAAGTCAGATTCTGTTTTCCCAAGATTTCCAAACATCACCTCAAAATAGTCACCCCAGCCACCCAAGAAAGAGTATATTTTGAAACTTAGAAATGGTTTTTCCATCATTAATTTCCATTCTCATTTCAAATTTTAAAGTAGGTGGAGAGAAATAGTTACTTTCCATCTGGCTGTTCTCTTGCCTGGGGAAGTTGTGCTGTCTTTTTTTTTTTTTTTTTTTTTTTTTCTTTTCCTTCTTTCTTTTTTCTTTTTTGGTCTGACAAGAACTTAATTGTGTGAGTGATCCATTCCAGATCTAGACATAACTCTCCCACCCTCTGACCCAGCCCAGAGACTAACTGTCACAGAACAGCAAAGAAACTGTTTGACCTTTTGTCCTTCTCAGACAGGATCTGCCAGAAGCACCCCTCTATAATGTTGTACATTCGTGCTCTCCATAAATTGAATCTAGACATTCAGGCATGTCTGAACAGGCATTGAAGATGCAATTGGTGAGATGGATTAACTCTACTCTTCTTTAAATCTCTTGTTTCAGATAATTATAGATGAAAGATGCTTATTTGGATTGGATTGCTATTTATTCATATATTTATTTTAGTAAGTGGTGAGGCAAGAACATAAAAATGCAGAGTTGAAAGACAGATTGGCCTGGATTGAATTGATAAGAAATGTGTGGAGCTTTTTGGCTTCTGATCAATATTTGTATTCAGTCTGCAATCTAAAGTATGTATAATAAAAAGAAAACAGGTGGGAGTAATACCTGATTGTAGTTTCTTCCCAGTGTATAGCCCAAATTAAAAGAAAAAGCATTAAGGACAGCAAATAACCTTAATCACCTGACACCAAAATGATTAATAGGACTTGCTTAAGACAGACCTTACTAGATCATGGTCAACACGCCTCTAGAAACCTAACATTCTGCCATTACTAGGACCCTGGATTGCCCCTCTCATCAGCTAAGGCTCCATTGAGCTCTTAACGCACTTTGGTTTGGAGTCCAGTGAATTTACTGATGCAGTAAATTGTTAGCACACCATGCGGGAGTTCCGAGGGTAACTTTGTAAAGAAGTCAGGAGTTTAGGTGGCTCCTAAACTGTCATTCAGACAGCTATTGAGTTAACATAGCTCATGACTCTTCAATAACTTTATGCTCTTCTTTATGGCTCATAATTGTTATCATTTAAAGTTGCTTTGCTGTTTACAAAATGTTCTAATATATGTACAGTGTGGACCTTGTTCTTTTGTAGCCTACTATGCTTCAAATTCATTTGATTTAATAAAAGACTCAGTTTTTTTTTTAAAGACTTTATTTATTTATTAGAGAAAGAGTCCGAGAGAGAGAGAGAGAGAGCGCGAGCATAAGCAGGGGGAGCTGCAGGCAGAGGGATAAGGAGAAGCAGACTCCCCGCTGAGCAGGAAGCCTGATGTGGACTCCATCCCAGGACCCTGGGCTCATGACCTGAGCCAAAGGCAGATGGTTAACCAACTTAGCCACCCAGTCGCCCCTTATTTAAGGGAGAGTAAGACTGCAAATAAAGTTCACCACTCTTAGCCTCCAGAGAAACTGAAAACCCAGGGCTTTGTTGTAACTAAAGAATTTTGCATCTTCGGCCCCAGAGTTTAGTGGACATGTTACAAAACACACACTTCAGCCTCTGATATCCTTGTTTTACACAAGAAGAGACACAAGAGTGTGCAGGAAAATGACAACTAAGTTCAAATACATCCTAGTAAAGAGAAACACTGACATAAATAAAGGGCCCTGGACCCAGCAGTGTACTTAAGCTTGCTATGCCTCATTTTTTTGTTTTGTTTTTGTTTTTTTAATTTTTTATTTTTTTATTAACATATAATGTATTATTAGCCCCAGGGGTACAGATCTATGAATCGCCAGGCTTACACACTTCATAGCACATACCTTTCCCAATGTCCATAACCCAACCACCCTCTCTCTACCCCGCACCCCGCCCCCCTCAGTTTGTTTTGTGAGATTAAGAGTCTTTTATGGTTTGTCTCCCTCCCGATCCCATCTTGTTTCATTTTTTCTTTTCCTACCCTCCAGAACCCCCACGTTGCCTCTCAACTTCCTCATATCGGGAGATCATATGATAATTGTCTTTCTCTGATTGACATTTCGCTAACAATCCTGGTTGCCTTACCTTCCTCTTAGGATCATCCTAGAATATACATAGAAAGTCAGATGAAAGAACTTCAGTGGGGATTATTAATATTCTCCCCTAAAATGATTAACCTTTGAAATGTCAGGATGATGCTCTGAGAATAGAAATGGGGTAGGCCCATCCCGGAGAGGTTTTTCATGCTACAAATACACATAGAAACAGCTAGACCTGTGTTTTGCAGAACCTGGGCTGTTTGCAGCTGTGACTCTCTGACTTATGCCCTCTGAACACCAGCCCAACAATAACTGCTTTGCTGTTTTTATAGGATCCTGGATTTGAAAAATCTCTCAGAGATCATATCTCTTCCCCTGTCTGTGATGCATCAACTATCTTCTCCTGGTAGTTCACCAACTCACTGTCCCTTCTGTGAATAGGAGCTCTCTAACTAAGAGAGAATGTGTTCTAACCTTGGAGAACTCTGACCTGATAGTACCCAAACCTGCCTCTCTCTAGCAGGTATAATAAGTTAGAAACACAGCAATACCGTTTCTTCTCCCAGCCTTCTTTTCTCCAGGATAGACTCTCTGAAGCCGCTCAGATGGACAGTCTGCCCGTCGCTGAAGGGCTGCACCCCGCTAGGTTATTCATCAGGCAGTGCATCCTTAGAATGGGCCTTTATCTTGGCAGAGAAATTCCTCCCTCCACTGTCCGCTCAGCAGCTACCCAGGTTTCCGATGACACGAGTCTTGATGTTAGAAGAGCTTCAAAGTCTCCAGTGCCTCCTTGCCAGCTGTCTTACGGCCTGGGGTAGTTGTTCCTCTTCCTGTGCGTGTGATAACCGCCGAGGAATCCTAATTACAGTTCCAGCATGTTCAGGGCAGTCCCAGCCCACTTCGTTTGAGGATCGCAGAAATGGATTTGGGTCACATACACATTTTCTTTGCAGTGCCATAAAAGGCAGGAACTCATTCCAGTATGGTTAGGATGCAGTGATCTATTTAAGTGTAACTTCCATCTTCCACAGTCTGCACTATAGGTTTTCACATCAGGAAACTGTTGGGTCAGGTGCTTGCCAGAAAATGTGGTGGTGGATGTTCGGTGTCTTGGTAAGGGTATCAGACATGGAGGGGAAAGACTCTAATTTAAGTCTTGACTCTCTGCGTTTGAGCTGTGGGACCTTGAGCAAGTTTTTCACCTGTGGGTTTGAAGAGGCATCTGCAGAATGAGGGTGGTCCTTCTCATACAAAGTATCATGACAAACAATGAAGGCTGTCAGAGGGTCTCATAAACTGCACAAATGGAAACTCTCCTGAGGGAAACCTCTTCAAAACTCAAAATCTGTATGAACTAAGATGTTTGTAGCATGTTGAAATATTTTATAGCCATTAAAAATTAGAGGAGAAAATGTGTTAAAAATATTAAATGACACTTTGTAGTTACAATAGTGTAAAATCTGTGTATGTGGACTAGAAGCATCTGGAGGAAAAATGAGATCACCTGTTTAAGGGCAGTGGAACTGAGCACCTTTTTCTTTCCAGACCTCATTGGTGTATTCAGTTCGGTTCAGTAAACTTCCTGAGCACTCACAGTGCTGGGCCCGGTGCTAGGCTCTGCACAGACAAAGATCAACAGGACACACTCCTTGCCTCAGGGACTCCCTTGCACGTAGTTTTTGCACATTATGAATAAGAATCACCCAGGGAGCTTATTTAAAAATTCAGATTACCTTTGTCCTACCCTAGAGAGTCTGATTCAGTAGATGGAACAGCCCACAGTGTGCATCTCTGAAACAGTCACCCTGACTGATCCTAATGTAGGCAGTTTAATTCCACACTGGGAGAAAGCTTCAGTGAGGTTTTAATATTTTTACAGTAAAAGATAATAATTACACAAATCTGCTCATTGAAGAACATACTATGTTGGATTGTTCCGCCTGCACCTTTGAGCTGGTTTTTATCCCTCTATGTCAAGGAGAGAAAGCCAGTTCACAGTGATCTTACTCTCAAACCCATGTAGCATGAAGCTGACCACACCTCTTCCTAGAGGTGACCATGAAGCTGACCACCTAGACCTCTTCCTCCCTTTCTTGTCCACTACCTCACCCGTGTTTTGTTTTTTTCTCCATGCTTGTGTTTTTCTGC